CTCAATAAATAGATTCAATTATTCAACAAGACAACAATACAGAAGTAGTCAAATTGATTTCAAACAAAATATTAACTATGCGTTTCTAAATCAAACGGAAATCAGTACTTATCAAACTCACCGTCACGACTTTTAGATAGAGATTCAACGATTGGAGAGGAGGCCGACGCGGGCGATAGAGATAAGGTTGTTTGAGAGTCGAAGAAGAAGAAGCCGATGACGTCGGTGATTAGATTTCTAATTAGCAATTTTTTTTATTTGCGTGTATTATATGTTTCCATAATTTAAATTTTGAAACTCTTAGTTTATTTAAAAAAAAAAGTACAAGACTCGAACATGTGACTATTGACTATAATCAATCGCTACTATACCACTAGACTAAAAAAAACTTCCTGAAATTGAGGGCAGAATTTTTTTATAAAAAAACAAAGACCACAAGCATGGACTTGGCCCACTTGCCCTCAGGGCCGGGCCTGACTCTAAGCATCTTCACCATTGAACCGAACCGAAAACAAAAACTCCAAGTGAACTAATTTTGGTTTGTTTTTACTTTAACCAATGTCACTCGATTAATAAGAACAACCAAACCCGGATTGGGGGTAAATTCGTCATTTCATAAAAACCCTAGTTACTGAAACATTTATAACTGAAGAAGAAAGACGAAACCCTAGAAAGCTGAGGGAGGGAGGTAGACGAAGCTTGAGAGAAAATGCCGCCGAAATTGGACCCATCTCAAATCGTTGACGTCTACGTCCGCGTCACCGGAGGTGAGGTCGGAGCAGCGAGTTCACTCGCCCCGAAGATCGGTCCACTCGGTCTCGCACCAAAGAAGATCGGAGAAGACATCGCCAAAGAGACGGCGAAAGAATGGAAAGGCCTCAGAGTCACCGTCAAGCTAACCGTCCAGAATCGTCAAGCTAAGGTCACCGTCGTTCCTTCCGCGGCTGCTCTGGTTATCAAAGCGCTCAAGGAGCCGGAGAGAGATGGGAAAAAGGTGAAGAACATCAAACACAACGGGAACATCTCGTTTGATGATGTGATCGAGATCGCTAAGATAATGCGTCCGAGATCTATTGCTAAGGAATTGAGTGGAACGGTGAGGGAAATTTTGGGTACTTGTGTCTCTGTTGGTTGTACTGTTGATGGTAGAGACCCGAAGGAGCTTCAGGAGGAGATTTGCAATGGTGACATTGATGTTCCTAATGAGTGAAAGGTTTTTTTTACTTTGAGCTCAGTTATCTTTTATTTGTGTTTGATTTTGAGGATTTGGTTTTTTTAGTATACTAT